CTTCCACCGATCCTCTCCAGCGATGACTAATAGCAATGTGGTCTATCTGTGTCCATCGCTGAGTCGAGCTCGGTGGACGCCAGGTCAGACAGTGCCTTTCTTTATGTCTGAAATTTGTGCTGGCTAAAAATAGGCGGTTATCTGAGCATAGTTGTAATAGGCGATCACCGTTATCTGTACGTTCAGCTGGGATTCCGAAAGTGCCACCTAAGTGCCTTTCTGCCTCACTCAGTCTACCCACCTGTGCGTTGAGGTCACCTGCAACAACCACTACGTCCGAACGTTTGGCTTTCGAGAGGAGGTTAGACAGTTTATGGTAGAACTCGTCCTTCACTTCATCCGAACTACAGTCAGTGGGTGCGTAAGCAGAGATTACAAAGAGACAACGGCGAGTCTCACTATTCCTTTTAGTTCTCACTGTGCCGTTCAGCCTCATAGCGCAGAGGCGACTATCAACTGGGATCCAGTCTAGTAGTGAGTTTTCTGCCCTGGTGCTTAATGCTATACCTACACCTGCAAGACCACGAGAGCTAGCTATCGAATCTCCAGAAACTCGAAGGGTGAATTTTGTGGATTCACCAGATTGGTCAGGAGAGGTCAGGTGAATAACCACACTTGGGTCCTGTATGCGTGTCTCACAAACACAGCACACATCCATGCCCGAGTTGCTAGAGTCTTTGCTAACGAAGCCTTTTGGCCAATTTGACGGAGGGTGCGGACATTGAAGGCTCCAATATGTAATTTGGAGCGTGGTTTAAGGAGACCAGTGATGCTGTTCTGTGGACTCAGATCGTTGTCGAAGGCTGCAGAGGTAGGAGAAATTGAAGATGATGCATCATCATCATCATCATCATTATCAACATAGGACCAGGCATTACTGCGTAACGGTCCGAGTTGCCACACCTCATATCAGCACATCAAGTAAAAAGGTAGTGAGGTGAAGGATGAAGATAAGTGAATGCAGTCAAAAGAAATATAAAGTATGAGAAGAAAGGAAAGAGGAGTGACAAAATAGTGAGATTCGGTATAGCGTTGTTAAGATGAGGATAATGTGTGTATACATCTGCGCCACTGACTTCGGTTCTGAGCCATATCACCTAGGGTCTCCAACCACTGGTTCCTCTTGTCCCGTGGACCCCAACCACCTAGTCTGCATCGTCCTACATGGCTTAAACCAACAGTCAGAGACTTCATACATTGGTGCCATGTTTTAGTCTGGCCACCTCGGGCCTTTTTCCAGCCTGAACCCACCTCAGCCAACATTGTGTGACGAGGCAATCGGTGACTAGGCATACGTAGTACGTGTCCCAACCATCTCAGTCGATGAAGGTTCACAACCTCGTCGACTGACTTACCTCTTCTCCCTAAAACTCTACACCTAACTTCTGCATTACTCACATGGTGACACCACGGAATACGTCCTATACTACGAAGGCAACGGTGGTCAAACACCTGAAACCTTTTTGTATCTTCCACTTTCAATGGCCATGTTTCACAGCCATACAGTAGAACAGAGCGGACTGCTGTGCAGTACACGCGACCCTTAATAGACAAACGAATATCACGGCGGCGCCATAGGTGGCGCAAATTGGCAAAAGCCAATCGAGCCTTTTGTATCCGTGCAGAAATCTCATCGGCAACTAACCCACCGGGTTGATCCTACTTCCCAGGTAAGTGAAGTGGTCAACACACTCAACCACTTCACTCTCTATTGTTAACCGCGGTACCGCTGAAGACCAGTCCTGGAGCAAAAATTTGCATTTGGGTGGTGAAAATCGCATCCCAAACATTCTCAAATTCCCACTCAAAGTGTTCAGAAGACTCTGCATCTTGTCAGCGTCTTCACCTAACAGGACTATGTCATCTGCATATTCTAGATCTAAGGAAAATTCACCTGTGGTCCGGTCAACGTCTTTGTAATTAGGTGACGAGAGGGAAACCTCCATAAGAATATCTATGATAAAATTAAATAAGAATGGGGATAGTGGGCATCCTTGACGGACACCACTTGATGAGTATAGCTCCCTGGACAACTCACCATAGGCTCTAACATGCCCACAAGTGTTCGAGTAGAGAGCTTTCAATAAGGTGATGTACTTACTAGGCACGCCTTTCAGTGACAGACACTGCCATAAGACTTCTCGATCAACGGAGTCAAATGCCGCCTTCAGGTCGAGAAATACAGCTATTGTCGGGCGTCTGTAAGCATGCCTATGTTCCAGGACCTGGCGCAGTGTGAATATTTGGTCGATACATCCACGGCCAGGTCTAAAGCCTGCCTGGTTTTCTCGGGCTTGCTGTTCCCGAGCTCCACTCAGGCGTCGGAGAATTATAGAACTTAGGATCTTAGACACTATGTTTGTCAGGCTGATTCCTCTGTGGTTATCACAAGAGGACTTCTCGCCTTTCTTGAAGACTGGGATGATCAGTGACTTAGACCAGTCGGAGGGGATCGTATTTGATTCCCATATACTGGCTAACACTTCCGTTAGCCTGACTAAGAGAACTCTACCACCATTCTTGTATACCTCAGCAGGTAGTCCGTCTGGTCCTGCTGCCCTTCCCCGTTTCAGGCTACCTACCGCTTTCTCAACTTCTTCTAGTGTTGGGGGACCTGTCTCTATGTCCCATTCAGGGTCCGACTGGATAGCGGGCAGCGCAATGGTGGCTGGAGGCCAGTTAAACTGTTCCTCAAAGTGTTCTGCCCATCGTCCCAGTCGCCTTCCCTGCGAGTGAATCGATCCGTCCTTCTCCGCTATAACCTCACTAACTGTTGTTGACCATTTCCCCCCAGTCTCCTTAATAAGTCTAAATAACTGTCTACTGTTACCGATCGCCGCTGCCTTTTCCATCTCTTTAGCCTTTGCTGCCCACCACTGTTCACGATCGTTGCGCAGACTTTTCGTCAGTTTATTTTTAAGTTGCGCTCGCTCTTCATTGTACTCAGAGCCTGCAGGGATGCATTCACGTGCATCCATTAGTTTGGAAGAAGCTGCTGATATCCACTGGCTCTTTTTAGCCATTATCTTGGAGTCGGCTACAGTCTCCAGTGCTGCTTTTACAGTAGACTGAAGATGGCACCAAGCTTCTTCTGGATGAGTGACAGTCTTTTGTTCCGATAACTGCCTAGCCAACTTCTCACTGAACACGGCTTTGGTGTTTTCGTTGTCCAGCAGAACTCGTAGTGGTTTTGTTGCCAAATTTTTTCTACGTCCATTGAGACGCAGGCATATACGTGCTCGGACCAACGCATGATCGCTGTCCAAACACGTACTCCAGAAGGAGCGGCAGTCTTCCACCGATCCTCTCCAGCGATGACTAATAGCAATGTGGTCTATCTGTGTCCATCGCTGAGTCGAGCTCGGTGGACGCCAGGTCAGACAGTGCCTTTCTTTATGTCTGAAATTTGTGCTGGCTAAAAATAGGCGGTTATCTGAGCATAGTTGTAATAGGCGATCACCGTTATCTGTACGTTCAGCTGGGATTCCGAAAGTGCCACCTAAGTGCCTTTCTGCCTCACTCAGTCTACCCACCTGTGCGTTGAGGTCACCTGCAACAACCACTACGTCCGAACGTTTGGCTTTCGAGAGGAGGTTAGACAGTTTATGGTAGAACTCGTCCTTCACTTCATCCGAACTACAGTCAGTGGGTGCGTAAGCAGAGATTACAAAGAGACAACGGCGAGTCTCACTATTCCTTTTAGTTCTCACTGTGCCGTTCAGCCTCATAGCGCAGAGGCGACTATCAACTGGGAGGAGGATAGCAGTCAGAAGAAACTTGGGTGCTGACAGGGTTGTGAGGGCGGTTGACACTTCCCGGCTGCCCACACCGTGGAAGGCTATTTCTTCTTAAGGTAACTGAAAGAGATTTGTGACCGCAGAGCCCATCGGACATCTGCTTGAGGCCTTTCACACCCGGCCTTTTGAGTATGATTATTTTGAACTTTTGTATTTTTGGGGCCGGATGATCGAAAGGAAACGACAAGTGAACCAACACCGCCGGCCCGGCAGACCGTGGGGTGTGGTGGAGTGTGTTATTTTGGGGGCCGACATTTTCTAACCCCCCCTTCCACTGAGAAGGCAGCATCAGCATGGCACTGCTGGCCATCCAAGGGAAACAGCTTACTGCTGTCACACCCCATCCAGCTAGCAGCAGTACGACTTCGCCCTCAGACCCCCATCACAGTGTAGCAATTTACACTATAACGCTTACGTAAATAAGTAGTGATACGTTCACCATCATATATACACATCCTTAGTTTGGTTGTCAATTATAAAACTGTACAAAGGCTTAAAATCCTTGTCTAAAACGTGAGTCAGACCTTACAGAAATACTTCAGAGGGCAGTGACTCGTATAATCCCTGCGACGGCTGGCCTGACCTATGAAGATCGACTTAAAAAGCTAAACTTCTTCTTTTTATCCTATCACAGAGAGGGTAGATCTATGCATGCCTTGCAAGTTTCTAAGAAATGACTTCAAACCTGATCTATATTGTGTTTTTCTTCCTATAAGGTCAAGATACCTCAGAGGGCATAGCAGGAGAATACAAAAGCAAACAATGAACATAGTCTCCGTAGAGTGTAGGTTCTGATGTCGAGCAGTCAACTCCTGGGACCGACTCTCAGAAAAACTGGTGTCCACGTCATTAGCTGACTCGTTTAAACGATGACTGGACAAGCATGAAGGTCAAGTGGAAAAGAATTAATATAGGCCCATAGCCTTCTATGCTCAAACAACAAATTTGAATGTCTCATGGGTACACATAAGATGGAGAATGAATATCGTGCCTCAGCCTATTAAATATGACAAAACAAAGATGAAGTCTTATTCCAAAAGTTCTAACAAACTATGTGACTATTTAGGTTTTTGATTCAAAACATAAAAACCAATCTAAAAACCCTGAAGTGCAGCGAAGACTGAAATCTAACTTATTTATTTTAGAAGTTAATTTCTTTTAATTCCGAAACACATTTCTTCAGAGCGGGTACGAAAGACTTACCAAAACGTAACCACCGGAACTTTTTGTATCACTAGTAGCGACCGTATCGTAAACCCCACTGTTCTCAATATCCAATAGTCTGCTGAAGTGATCCGAAAGAGTAGCATGTGTTTAGAGCTTTATTTTAACAAACGTCTTACAGCTTGATTAAAAAATGCTCGGGTTTACCTCTTACTTCAATTACGGGGGAAGTTAGATTCTGATTTCTCCTTATGCCCCAAAGACTTAACGCAAGAAATCGAAAACTACTAGTTTTTCAAGAAAGTAGTACCAGTATTCTCTATGGCAAGCTTGACAGAAAACTCCAAGGACTGACAAGGTTCTTTTACTGTCACTTTCTGATGTTCGCACCATTGAAATCGGTTGTTAGATGTAGGTTATTTGGGGGAGAAGTTGTAGTGCATACTCTTGGCACCAAAATAATGCTAGGTTTAAGGTAAGAAATCACTATTTAAAATATCTGAGTCATAGTTGGGTACTCTCTTATAGCGTTGATGGGCGAGACTAATTTTTTAAGTCTGTATTGGCGTGTAAGCGTCTGCCCGCTGACATTCACCATTTAGGCGTTTATTTTGTGATAATAATAAAGGTGGTAATATGTTTGCAATATTCGAAACCATAGTCATGTTTACAGTGCAGAAGTCCCGGCATGCGATGCCTCATCGGTTTACGCGATGTATAACAATTTTTGGACTGTATATTAACAGTGGTGCTGTAAAGCAGCACATAAAGAATAACATGATTATTGAAAGATTTAATGACTTCAGGGTTCATCACAACCGTTTGTTATCGCAAAGTTGGTTGAGGAGACTATATCTAACGTGACTTTCTTCACATACTACAAAAGCTAAATAAGTTATGGTTGAATTTTCACACGTAGTTGTGTGTCCATAGATTTTGACAAACTTGCTCCTTGTCTTTCCAGAGAAAAGACATCAAGAAAGGTGCGGAGGCGGAGGATGTCTGCCACTAGGTAGGGTATTTCAAGCCGGCCATCTACAGGAGATCAAATGCCTATCCACGACCGTACTTTCAGTATGGTTAGAGGTGTACCGCTGGCCCTACTGACAGCCTCCAAAATCTTACACAACGCAGCGTCGTCTTTCTCCTGGGGGCCGAGAAGGAATAGGGGAGAACTACAAGTAAGTACACGCAAAAAAAGGGATCAATGAAACGTGAGGGTAGAGGCTGGGTCATGCCAGCAAGTTACAGTTTCCTCATTTAAAATGTCAAGCGAAGGAGCTTCCTTGAAATCAGTAAGATATAAAGGTACCTTGAAAGGTTGGAGGAAAAGCATGAGCAGAAATGGATAACACTTGTTACTTTCCCTGCAATAAAGCAATCTGTGAGACAAAAATCATGGGACTGATAAATTTTCATAGGTTCTCTTTAGGTTTTTACCTAAAGTTAACCATCTGGGGCTTTGAGGAATTGAATGTCACCATTTAAGGAAGGCCAATGACCATTTTCCGTCAAGAAGTTGTAAGGTGGATCTGGTCCTGTTACCGCTGCCTAATACTTGACCAACCTTACACAAATTCATGTTCGCTGGTACCCGGCTAATCGGTACCTTGTCTAGGTGTAAGTACCGATAACAAAAGGCAAATTGCAAACCATCTTATACGGTGAAAGTAATCAGACAAACAGTTTGTTTATCAGTCCTAAGACAAGAGGTTAAAGTGGAGCGAGAATGCTAACCAATGTTTATTATACTCAAGGCTCGGGACTCTAGGCTAGACGCTGCCCACCATAACAAAGAAGATCAAACGCGGCGGATATCACTGCGTGGATGCCTATGCACAAAAACAAACCTGGGTAACTAAAGTCACACGGCGCCGTCGTAAAGGATCCTTCGGCTATTATTTATGTATCTCGTATGTTTGTTTACATATTTTGAGCTTAGCATTGTTTCCGTACCAGCAAGGTGCACCACAGGTTATCCCCCTCAATCTTTTGGGCTTTCCTCATGCTTTTGGATTTTGGCAATCTGGCTACTATCTAGTTACAGTTTTCGCTCGCAAACTGAAGCTTCTTTACATATATGTTATCTGCTAACTGTTGCTGTCATCCCCTCCTCAGCTATTGGCTGCATATCTCTGGTTTTCATCAATGCCTGAGCTTTGGTCTGGACTCCAGTGTTTATCATTATTTGACAGGTGGTTGCAGCATCTTGCTGTTTTACCTACCAGTTTACTGCAAAAGCTGAGGTTGATGGACGACTAATAACTTTAAGCTGTGTTGCAGCTAAATCTCTAATCCTGCTATTTTACTGTCAGAATAAATTTTTATTTCTTTATGTCTGTGCCTTGTAGCCCTAACATGAGTAACGTTATCGCTGCCGTAAACAAACCAATTCATAAAGCTAACGAATCAAAAGTTTCGAATCCGTCACTAGGGTCTGAAAGTAGTTTGTTTACTAACGGTTCCTCCGTCTATCTGCCAGACGTCATGACTGACCTACATAATGGTGTTGTTATGAACAAGCGTAATATTGTTGACAGCAGTAATGCGATGGCTGATCTTCAGCGTAAACTAGACTGTCTTATACCTCTGATTTGCCTACTCAACCCTACGATGGACTTATGGGTGGATAGTCTTATCAAGTGTGAAACATTGGTGAAATCTATAGCCCCTGAAGCCAGCAAACGACTGCCTTCGTCGCACAACTCCATCGCCCTCAACGTCCCTGATAGTTTTCCATTAAAAAGTGTTAAAATGATCTCCCCCAAGCCTGTGGTTTGCATGAATCTGTTTGTAGAGTCCGGCGTCTCAAGGAGAGGACTAATTAATACCCCTGTCCAATATTATTCCAGTTCAGCTCACTCCCTGATGCAAGAGACTCTTAAGAAGCTGTGAGAACGTTAGGGTACTTCCAGATCCTACCCCCTGTCAACGACGGATACGTGGCTCGAGACCTTATGAAATTGGAAACTTTGTCGGACCCAGGAGCTTATGGCTAACTCTCTGAACAATTTGTCCTAGACAACCACAACGTAGCACAAAAGAGGCAGTGGAAGAAGTATAACGCGTTTATTCCAGGCACTCTAGTGGGCGAGTCCAGCGGGCAAAATTTCACCAGTTATTCATCATTCAGTTGCAGCCAATAGTGAATATAAGGTTTACAACAGATAGAGATTATAACCAAGTTTACTGAGCATTACATCAGCCTCCTCCTAGAAACGACCTTAGGGAGACTGTCTTTTCGATGCAATGCTGAATGAAGTGAACAAGGTGGAGAAAAAAATGGGAAAAATGAAGAAAATTCTAATACTGTGCACATAAAGTGTTTTGCTGATCAAATGCAATGGTGATGAATGGAGAAATATTGTACAGAATGTCAATGTAGCATTAGTTTATTAATCAATATTGTCTTCACGATGATATAACGTAGTTCTTGAATCTTCTTCTGACTTGGAATATCTGCTACTTGTATTCCATAAAACATTCTTCGTGTTCCTCGTTCAGCGGTGATAATGGATACTGAAGTACTTCTGTTTCTCCAGATCTCTGAAGGTTCTTTAGCAGTAATCTTAAACTCCAAAGCAGATACTGTTTTAAAAACGGAAGTAACCGATGTTGAGGACTCACCGTAAGTTTCTGACTTCCGTACGGTGGAGTGGCCCACCTACCAGAACGTTGCTATGGTGTGCATCCTCTGACGTCGATAATTTCACTGTTTGCAGTTTGAGCGCTTGTGGGTCTACTGGCTTTCAGTCGCGATATTTCAAGTCCAGGTTAACATAGTATAGATACTCGAACAAAAGTAGAGCAGCTTAAGTAGCTGATGTTATTTCAGTGCTCAAAACGGGCTTTTTGTAAGATACACATTATAGAAAACACTCATTTACTTCAGATAAAATCTAAAGAGGAAAAATTACGTTTAAAAGTGTTACCGATTTATTGACCTTTTCTTTTCTAAACGGTCAACTTTGCATCAGAGTTTGTGCCAACCTAACTGTTTTAACTGGTTTACTAATCTGTGTAATGTTCGTTGTACCGTCCACGATATATTGTGGAAGTTTCTCTAGGGTTACATATGGTGGATCGTTGTCTAAGTATGCCGTCTTAAGTCTGTCCATACTAACGCTGTCTTGAGAGTTACAGCGTTGTATGACGAAATGTTTTGGATGTCGTGGAAGAACTTTGAAGGGTCCTTCATATGGAAGGCCAAGAGGTGGTTGAATTCTGCCACAGCGAGTATCGATATCTTTGGGGATATAGACTGCTCCGGCCTGCTCACGGGTTGCAACCGGTTTTAAGCTAGCCATTTGGTGTCTAAGTGGTCGACATAGGTTGATTGGTCGATTTTGTCGCTTTCAACCTTGGGGTTGATAAAATCGCCAGGAAATCTTAAGGTGGTGCCAAAAACTATATTTGCAGCTGAGAACTAAGCGCCAGTCTCGATTACTGCGCGGATACCTGACATTACCATGGGGAGGTATTCTTTCCAGTGACAGGGATCAGCTTCTGATACCCAGGTGGTCTTAAGTTGTCGATAAAATCTTTCTACCACACCGTTTGATTGTGGGTGGTATGCCGTGCAGCGTATTCAGTGAGAACCAAGGAATTTGACCAAGTTATTAAGAAGTTCTGGTTCAAACTGCACCCATCTGTCAGTGGTTATCGTTAGAGGGACGCCAAATATGGACAATTAGTTCTGTGGAGACGCTTTTTGCCACTGTTTCTGTGGAAATGTCCGCAAGTGGAATGGCTATTGGAAACCTTGTGCACATATCGATACATGTGAAGAGATACGTGAAACTATTAGAATGAAGTATAGGACCTAACAAGTCCACGTGTACATGTGCAAAACGCACGCCGGGTTGCGAAAACGTTCCCAAAGGTGAAACGGTGTGTCGGCTCACCTTGGATTGCTGACATGCCGCACATCCTTTAACCCGATTTCATACGTCGCGCCATAAGTTGGGCAAAATACATCTATCAGCAATAAGTTTTGTAGAGGCCTTTGCCCCAGGGTGTGACAATGAGTGAAGGTTGTTGAATACTAACTTCCTCATGTTAATAGGCACGTAAGGTCTAGGTAAGTCTCTCGTCATGTCACAGTAAATGAGTCTATTATCTGTGGGTGAAAG